ACCCTGGAAGGGGCAGGTGACACTATCCCCACCCTCCAGAGAGCAATTTAAAAGCAACTGTGGCTAAAGCCATCAAGTGGTGAGCCCTTCAGCTAATCTGCTGAGACTCATTTGGTGACCTGGCCACAGAAATGTCACACCCAAGGGCACGAGCTGCCACCACCACCACCGTCACCACCAGCCGCGTCCCGCTGGGATTTACTGAGAGCCAAGGTGGGAGGGAGTGGAGAGGAGGAGAGGGCTGTACCTTTTCCAAGACTTTCTTGGCCTTTGGTTCCGACTGATTACAGAGAAAGTCTCTGGGAGCGAGAACAAAGGAGAGAGGACTTGGCCTGCAAACCTGCTCGCTGCTGAGCCTGGAAGCTTCCCAGGAGGGTGGTGGGGGCCAGACAGGCTGTGGGGGCCGCAGGAGCGCCGTATGCGTGGAGATGAGCCTGGGGGCCTCATGGGGCAGCACCAGGACCTCTTCTGTGGGGCTTATGGCTCTGAGTCACGCCCCCCTCCTGGCACTGCCCGAGGCCCCCCAACTCAGGGTTGTGTTTGCCCCCGCTACTGGACTGGGGTTGGGGGGCAGGGGCATGGATCACTCCTGTTCAGGTCCTAGCAGGTGACACAAACATTTGTGGGGCTGAAAATAGCTTTGCCTGTTGACCCTTAGAGAAAGCTCATGGGTGGCGTGGTCGTTTTCTCACTGGTAACACAGAGGTGAAGGAAACCAGTGCTTAGGGTGCCTCAAGTACTGAGGGAGAGAAACAGGGCAGCCCCTGCCTTGGCTACATTATTAGCCTCTGTTACTTGCGTTGTCCCCTTTCCTGGATAGGACAGTGTCCTTTGCCCCTAGGCTGCTCTGCACGTTCTAATACTGAATTTCCCCAGCCAGGAAGCCAGGCCCAGTAGGGCCACTGAACTGGCGGCTGTCAAGTGCGAAAGCCACGTTGGTAAAGGTCGTGCACAGTGGCTGCAGCCAGCCTCAGGCGTTCCGTCACTACACATCTGCTGAGGACCAGCCCTGTGCCAGACACCATTTTAGGCCTTGGGGATATGGCAGGGAGAAGACAGACCTGGCCCTTCCGGCCATGGGGCTCATTCCCTGGGAGACCCAGAAAGAGCGAACAAGCTGGCAGACCAACTCCAGCTGGCAGAGAGGGAAGACTTCCTGGAGGAAGCAGCATGTCAACTTGTGTGTGAGGAGCAGATGGAGCTGGCTAGGTTTGCGGGTAGAGCTGGGAAGAGTGTGTTCCAGGCAGCGGGAATGGCATGGGCAAAGGCCCAGAGGCGAGAGAGAATGTGGGACTTGCAGGAAGCCCCTTCCTGGAGCTTGGGGAGGACCCCAGTGCTGAGGGATGGTTCCAGCAGCCCCCACTTCCTCTCAGGGTGGGGCTCTGGGAGCAGTGGGTGCAGCCTCTTTCCCCTAAGAGAAAGATTTGTGACATGTGCTGTTACCTGGACTGCCAGCTCCAGGCCCCTCAGAGGGAACACCACATGGACTGGCTGGGCCCTCTGGGGACCCATTCCTGGTTAGTGGCAAAGATGAAAGAACCAGCCTTGGGGTCCCAGGGGGGCCTGGGTTTTATGACGTACACCTGAGGAGAACTGGGGAAGGAATGATTTATCTCTCAGGATTCAGAAACTGAAGCTCAGTGAGTTCCCTGGGGAGGGTGGCCGAGGAGGTGGGCGAGGCAGGGCCTCAAACATGAGAGTGCAGACTGTGGGCTTATCCTGAGTGCACTGGGGGACCACTGGAGGGACTTAAGCAGGGAGTGACATTATTTGACTTACGTTTCTAGAAGTCACTTTGGACTAGGAAGACAAAAGTGGATCCAGGATAAGCCAGAGAGGCTCCTGCAGGGTCCAGGACTGAGGGTGCCCTGGAGGGTGGTAGCCAAGGGGTGGGCACGAAGTGGGCAGATCTTGGGTGTTCGGGAGGGAGCGTGGGTAGGACTTGCCTCCAGGTTGGACATAGAAGGTGCAGGGGGATGAGTGATTCAGGTGACCTGGTTATTTTGGGAGCACCGGGTGGATGGTAGTCACGGGTGACTCAGACAGGGAGGGCCGGGCAGGGTGGGGAAATCAGAGTGCTGTGCGGACACCAGAAGCTTCCTCTTAGACATCCAGGTAGAGCCTGGGCTGGGCGTGATCAGGCTGCAGACGGAGATGCGGGAGGCTCGGCCCTCAGGCGGGGCTGGGTGAGACCACCCAGAGAGCAGTGAGAGGGGACCCTGGACGGAGCCCCGCGGGGCAGTGAGGAGGGAGAAGCCCTGGGTAGCTCACGCCTGCCTCGGGGTGTTCCGGGCACCCTGGGTGCAGCCGGGATGTTGCCAGGATGGGTTTTAGGTGGGTGCTGTTAGTGACTGTGCTGATGGAGTGACCCCGGGTTTTCTCGGGCCTGTTCTCCCCTTTGGCTCTGTCCCCTGCCGAAGCCGAACGTCCTGGAAGTTTTGCCCTCTCACACGCTTCTTGTTTTGACCTAGGATTTCCCCCCACGTCCCCCTCTTCACTGCTCGTCATCCTCACCACTGTGCAGGCGAGGACACCAGGCACCGAGAGGCCAGGGAGCGCGCCCACGGGCACGCAGCCGCTCGGTGGCAGCGCCAGGATTTGAACCCGGGCGGCGTGGCTCTCTGTCATATTCTTAAGGACACTGGACCATATCACATAGCTTTCCGGTGAAACGTCTTGATTTTTCTAAGTCCCGCCTCAGGGGCCACTGTTTCGTCCAACGTTTTATGGGGGTTGTGCCCGGATGCTAATGTCACCTCTGGGTGTGCTCTGTGGTCCTGGGCAGTTTGCTTGATCCCCCCCCCCCC